GAGGGGGTGGGAGCAAGATGGAGGGGGTCGTTGGGGAGGGGAAAGTCTGTAATACTTTCAACAATAAAGATAATTTTTTTATAAAGAGGGAATTTAGTTTCTGCCTTAGCTCTATCTCTTTCTCTTGGGCAAACGACTCTCCCTGAGCCCCATACTCTTTTGGTTTGTTGTTGTTAATCCTCACCCAAGGATACTTTTTCCATTGATTTGTTAGAGAGGGGAAGGGGCGGGGTGGGGTGGGGGGAGAAACACTGATGTGAGAGACACACATCAATTGGTTGCTCCTGTACTCACCTGGCCAGGGCCAGGGATCGAGCCTGCAACGGAGGCACGTGCCCTTGACTGGAATCAAACCTGTGACCCTTTAGTCCTCAGGCCGAGGCTCTAACCACTGAACAAACCTGCTAGGATGAGCCTCATACTCTTATATGTAAATGTGAGTACCCTACTTCTTTTATAGCACACATCACACTTTATGTTTGTGTTCCTCTCTAGATGTGCCATAAACAAATAAAAAAACAAAAAATAAGACTACCAGTATCTCCTCCACAGACTCATATAAATATGAGGATAAAATAAAAACATAGTTTTTTTAAATTATTACATTTATTGGAGTGACATTGGTTAATAAAACATAGTTTTTAATCAAATAGTTTTTAATTTTCTGTAAGAGGCGCTTCATAAATCCAAAGAATAGTATTTTAGACATTCTCAACTCAAATTAATTAGACTAGAAATGAACAGAATGCAGGGGAAAAGTGACTGACATAGAGAACACTGGATCATTGAATTTTTTTATTGTAAAATATACATAAAATTTATGACTAACCATTTTGTGGTAGTTTTGTGGCATTTAAGTACATCACATTGTTGTGCAACTATCATCACTACCCAGCTCCAGAACTTTTCCATCTTCACAGAATAAACTCTGTACCTATTAAACAGTAACTCCCCATTCTCCTCTCTCCTCCGTCCCTGGTAACCACCATTCTGCTCTCTCTCTCTGAATTTGAATATTCTAGGTACCTCATGGAAGTGGAATCATAACATTATTTGTCCTTTTGTGTCTGCCTTATTTCACTGAGCAGAATTCTTCATGATTCATCCAGGTTGTGGCATACATCAGAATTTCATTCCTTTTTATGGCTGAATAATAGTCCATTGTATGTATATACCACAATTTGTTTATATCTGTTCATCAGTTGATAGATATTTGGGTTGTTTCCACCTTTTGAACATTGTGAATAACGCTGCTGTGAACATTGGTGCACAAGTATCTGTTTGAATCTCTGCTTTCAGTTCTTTTGTGTATATACTCAGAAGTGGAATTGCTGAATCATGTGGTAACTCTATATTTAATTTTTTAGGAACCACCATAGTGTTTTCCACAGTGGCTGCACAATTTTACATTGCTACCAGCAATGCAAGAGGGTTCCAGTTTCTCTACGTCTTCACTAACACTTTGTTTTGTTTATTTAATAATAACCATCCCAATAGCTTGTGAAGTAGTGTCTCATTGTGGTTTTAATTTGCATTTCCCTAATGACTAGTGATGTAGAGCATCTTTTCATGTGCTTATTGGCCATTTATATATCTTCTTTGGAAAAATGTTTGTTCAAGTTGTTTACCCATTTTTGAGTTGGTTTTGTTGCTAGTGAGTTGTAGGAGCTCTTTATATATTCTAGATATTAATCCTTTATTAGACATGATTTGCAAATTTTTTCCCCATATACATAATGTTCTGAAGAGCTAAATTAGGGTGGCAATAGTGGAAAGGAAAGGAG